CGCATGAACGTTGTTCACTGCTGTCACCAGCGCCACAGGCTGAGGAACGGAGTTCAGCTTCGACGTCAACTCGGCGCTGTCAGTCGCCCTCCCCTTGGCACCAACAGCCCATTGGTACCAACAGTCATCCAGCATTGAGACGTCGCTCACCGCCCCGGCACCATTCTGCATCGAGGTCTCCATGGTACCAATCCCCATCAGTACTGATGATTTTCCACAACGACGCCCAACAATTGATGCGGTCTTCCCACTGACTCCGATCCCCATCTTTGGATGTGTTACTGGTCGAGCCTTCCAGCCCAGAACCAGCGTTCAACGCCCCTGCACCTGTGGGCATGCTTCGGAGTCTCTGCATTCCGGCCAGGTTCACTCTCATTCGCCTACTCCACAACACTGCTTCTCTCGACGAGAGGCTCTGGACGACTGTCCTTACAACAACTTGTCGATTTCAGAAGGCGAAGCTGCTTCAGAGATTGGTTCCGACCTTGCCTCGGTTCCATAACCTGACGATGCTATCAGAGGACACCAGTCGACCTCACCATCAGAGGATCTCTCCTCTTTTGCTGACCAGATAGTTTGGATGGCGAAGGCACTGGACCTGAAGCATACTGCCTTCAGGACCTGTGGCACTGCCATTACTGCAAAGCCTACAAGAGGTTATATTGGCCTCTTGGACTCATCCATCATCTACAGTGCCATCTGCCAGACGCCTGGAGGGTCTTTACAGAGTTATAGACTCTGTCTGTTCTTTCTTGTTTCACCACCCGAAGCCAAACTCCTTTATTTCAGTGGTCATACAAGCTTGTAGTCGATATGGGTCGCATACCTCTCCTAATGACAAGGAGGGGCACAAGCTTGATGCCTTGGGGTGCAAGATATACTCCTCGGGGGCTATGGGCCTCAGGGTGGTGAATTTTTATGCAGTAATGGGTTTGTACAATCGACTGCTTTCGGGCAAGCTACTACCCTATATAGAGGCCTTGCCCCAAGAAAAACAAGTGTTGGCCAAAGCTATTGTTTGAAGAGGTCATGCGCTTAGGGAAACAGCAGGTCACTGTGGCCCATCATGAGGCTGACTGCCGTGGCAGAGCCATGGGCTCGGCATTAGTGCTTCGACGTCACTCTTGGCTGCATTTTTCCGCCTTACCCCCAGATACCAGAGCTAAGTTGGAGGACCTCCCCTTTGAGGGGGAAGAATTGTTTAGTGATGAAACCAATGAGGTGTTAGAATACAAGTGTAATACATATGTAAATACAAGTTATAGGCGAAATCCTTCAGGATAACTGCCTTGGCCACCAATCAACCAAAAACCAGGTATTGGTCCCACCGGTTTCACAAACCATCCTTTAGTAGGCCTTTTAGGTATTCAGAATCTACGTTCCAGTCACAGCCCTACCAGGCTGCTACTAGATCAAATTTTCAACCACCTTTTCAAAATAGATGCCCTAAAACCAGATCAGGGCAGGGTAACAGATCTTCAAGAGATCAACCTAACCTGAGTGGTGACACCCAATGACTAGAATAATAATAATAATAATAAT